GACAACAATTCGTACGAAGGACAATCTTCATATCCTCAAGTCTGTGAGCACGGCTATCCCTTTTCAAATATAGTCTATGTTCTAAAGCAAGTAAAACTAGATTAACACACGAGGCGAAGGATCTCTTTTTCCTCTGCCTTGCCTCGTGGAGCGGCTCATCTTCCTATACAATGAAAGCTTCGTCGAACAAATCAGAATTTGCGCTGCTAATTAGATAGTCCCTCCTAACTTAAGTTGCGTGACTTCCTTGCAACCGCTTTCGAAACTTATGGAGATGCAATTGAGTTATCCTAGTCTTAAAATCATGTAAGGTTGCTGGAATACAGTCTTGAGGTGTATTCTTGCCCATTGCGGGTGCTGCAGTCTGCAATGTAATTAAGCCTTATCCTCTGTGGATCACCACCCCACGATGCCAGTGGGGGTCAAATGGGGGTTACAGGTCTTTTATGGTTACATGATGCGCCTTAGCCTCCCTTCTATCGTTACACTCGTGCCAAGTGCCCGTTATTCGGCCGGTGCAATGCGGGGATCTTGCTTATTTTGGGGGTTCTGTAGAGGGAGGGGACCACAGACTTGGAGTCGAGCATAAATAGACATCGAAAAGGAAGATTGACGAGGAAATGTCAAACGGCATCAAATTGGCAGGCTTTGACGAGGGAGAACACGATGCTACTAAGGGCCCTAGGTGTTCTGAGTGGTGCTGCTGTGGCTTCTGCTCTCCAATTACTCCCACCAATAAGCTCACCATCAAATAGCGCAGTAGCGGCTAAGTGGGATTTCACCACTACATCGAAAATCTACATTGACAGAGCCTTCGCATCCTCTAGAGATGCCGAAGGCCTGTCACTGATACCGCCCACAGCACTCGAGTTCGCGAACACATTTCGACAAGATCTCAGTGAACTCACAAAGTCCAACTGGACTATTGAGATCTTGGAGCAACTATCAAACAATAGCAGTCTAAACGGCATACTCTTAGGCAACTTCACAGGTGATGTCTCCGAGCTCACTTACGAAAACGGCAATCCATCGTCTGAGGGCTATGAGCTCGTCATCAAGTCCAATGGTGCTTTCATCGGCGGTGCCAGTGCCAGAGGGATGTGGTGGGGTACTCGCACTCTATTGCAGATGATTCTTTTGCAAGATGGACCTCTCGTCCCTGGGAGTATTGTTGATGTACCGGCATATGCAACTCGAGGCTTCATGCTCGATGCAGGAAGGAAATGGTACTCTCCGTCTTTCCTGAAAGAGCTTTGCACGTATGGTTCTTTCTTCAAAATGTCGGAATTCCACTATCACCTGAGCGACAACTATCCTCTCAACCGGGGCCATAACGAGACATGGCAGAATGTATACTCTCAATTCTCCCTTCTCCCGGAGGACGAATCGCTTCATGGCATTATTGCACGTAAGAACGAGACTCTTTCGCGAGCGGACTTTGAAGATTTTCAAGCACACTGTGCTAGTCGTGGCGTCACCGTGATCCCCGAAATCGAAGCCCCGGGCCATTGCCTATACTTGACAAAGTGGAAGCCAGAGCTTGCTCTCCCAAAAAGAGATCTACTCAATTTATCTCACCCGGAGACCATCCCTACCGTCAAGAGTATTTGGTCCGAGTTTCTTCCCTGGTTTGAAACACAGGAGGTTCATGTTGGTGCCGACGAGTATGATGCAGCCTTAGCTGATGACTATATCAACTTCGTGAACGAGATGTCAAACTTCATCAACGAAACTGTAGGAAAGAAGATCCGCATATGGGGAACTCCTGAGCCTTCAGAAAATGTTAGCATCTCAAAGGATATTCTCATTCAACACTGGCAATACGGTCAATCTGATCCCATTCAACTTGTTGATGGCGGATACGACATTATAAACTCCGAGGATTGGTGGGCGTACATGTCCCTCAAAAGCGACCATATGCCTATCTTGCCAGCTAAGTATCCTCAATTCTTCAACGAGAGCCGTGTCCTGAATTTTGCCAATGTGCAGGGCTGGCAATGGAATCCAAGTGACTTCAATCCGGTCAACAAGACAATGCAACTGAGCCATAGTACAAATCAGAACAAGGGGGCGATCATGGCAGCTTGGAACGATAATGGCCCGGACGCGTCAACACAACTCGAAGCATATTATGCAATGCGTCGAGGCATTGCTCTTGTTGGTGCAAAGGCGTGGACAGGCGCCAGGGGCGCGAACATTACCGCAGATACAGCATCTGAAAGCGTTGATTTCTATTCCGCACTAATACCCGGAGCGAACTTGGAGCGTACTATTGCATCCAATGGCTCGGAGCCCCTACTATCCTGGAGTCGTCAGTCAACGGATGGTGATACTGTCACTCTTGGTTACGGAAGCAAGGGAATGAACTATACACTGTCGCTTTCTGCTGCAGGCCCTTTTACACTTTCTGGGCTGGACAACACGCTGTCCTTAGATGGTGACGGCAATCTGGTGTTCACATCAGATGGATGGTCATACCCACTCAGATCAGTCTCCGAACCGGATGCACTTGAACTTGATCCTGGTCACCCGGGGAGGATCTGGGTGAATGTCTCCTCATCAACGCACGAGCCACTGAAGGTGGAAACTCCGATTCAAATCACGATTGCGACGGATGTCCTGGGCGGGAGTAGAGTCTGGCTCAATGCTAGCTTCGCAGGCAGATTTGAAGTGTTTGTTTTCGGTGGACGAAACACCCAGTTTAGCTGGAATCAAATGGCCTTCGTGGCTCCGTTGGAAACCATTAGCGGTGATTTGGAGAGCCTAGTTCTCGAAGGGGCTGTACAAATACCGTCGGGAACCAATGGCACAGCACCTCCCATAGTATCAGGGGACGGTGTGACTGCATTCCCGGGAACTGGGGCCATTACGGCCATTGCTGGACTAATGGCTTTGATCTACCTCATGTAAGCCTTCTTAGAGCTGAGTCGTAACAGAATTCAACCTTTGCTGATAGCATTGACATGTTTGGCTGCACAGTGGAGTGAGATATTGCCGCATTTATCGGAGACAAAAGTAGAACGTGGTACATGGTGTCACCGAAAGATGCACGACTTAGGGGTCATTGGAAAGCCTCCTCTTCGGCACTCGTGACATGCCTTTATGGAGTATTCTCATGTTGCGCCAAATAACCTTGCAGCTTCCAGAGTTTCAATTGAGTCTCCGCGCTTCTTCTCCTCCCGAGGAGGAACAGTGATCCCTCACTTAGCATCGGCGATTCATCCCTCAAGCGGGCCACATGCTCCGTACCAAGTAATTGCGTTATATCATGCAAGGGAATCTCGTCCTTGCCCTCAATGGTACTGGAAGGAAGAGCAACACTGTCTTGAAAATTACCGCCCTCTGATGCGATAGTAGAGGCCATATGAAGCACACAGCCTGGTTCGTGTTTGCCCTCGAGGTCATTCAAACTAGATAGTTTGATGAGATACTTCCTATTTTCCTCCACGGACTTCTCGGACAGATACAATAGATCCTCAACAATGCGCCGACGGAGCAGCTCCAGTACCAATATGTCCATATTGGGACTCCATGTGGCACGATTGAGAACGGAGATGAGTGGGGCAGAGGTTGTCTTGCGGCCTAGGCGCCGCTGCTGGTTGTAGTAGGTAGATTTTGGCGTGACAAGAGACTTGAGAAGGTCCTGCCGAGATAGAATGTAGGCCGAAGGACCGCGGGGACGAGTCGAACCCTCTTTTGGACTAGGTGCTGTTGCTACGTTTTCAGCTGAGCTCGGTGGCTCCTCTGGTACAGCATCAGAAGGCGGCTTGCTGTGATTTGGCTGAGAGCGGGCGGCCGCAAGACTGCTTGGAAGCCACCACGGGTCCTTGGTCTCCGGGTGCTGCACAAGACTGAAATCTTGTAAGAAATAGCGCGGCAGAACGGCACCCGTGAGGGCGCAAGTGCGGCTCGGAGTCGATAAGGCTTGAGCTGTGATAGGTTTTAGTACGCCGGTCAATGGGAATCCGCGGACTGGACGCATACCATATGGATTTCTTGCTAGCTGACGTCTGAACCTGCTCTTTGAAATGGAGTTCGCTCTCAACTTGGGCTTACTAGATTTCTTGGTTTGTTTCTGCCAGGATGGGTCCATGAGAGGTGAGATTGGTAATGACCCAGCAGGTGTGTCAATTGTTCTGCTTTGCTCATTGATCTTCAACCCCGTTGAGCTTGGCAATGGTGTATTCGGTACGCCATTGCTATCCCCAGCGCCACTTGTGGCTGTCTCCGAATAGGCCCTGGATTGAAGATGTTCAATGTATCTGGCCCCGAATGCGCGTCGCAGCGCTGCAATTCTCTTCATAGCTGGGATATGCAATGTGAAGAACGCAAAAGCTCTGTGAGGCTCACTAAAATCAGATGTGTCTAGGGTCTCGGCGCCAGATTAAGCGAGAAAGAGCGTCGACGGGGCGCCGGCAAATTGGGCCGAACCCCACGAAAGCTCAAGCTCCTGGGAAGCTTTCAACGTCATCCCTCAAGCTCAGGCCTAGCCACAGCAACGTCTCTTGTCTTCGCCGCTTGGGCATTGACAACAGAAACAAAGTCATCCTTCGCCATGAATTGTCAAAGGGCGGCGTGGCGCGCTCTACGCGCTATTGAAGCCCCGGCAAGGCGCCAGTTCTCACAATTCCCTCCTGCGTCAAACACTAGACCACCCACAAGCTCGCTACCCATGCCGTACATCACAGAAGTAACAGTGCGTTTCGCCTTGCTTATCTTGACTTTGGTCGATTGTACTAATGGAACAGGCTGGAGGCTGGAGGACATGTTCGTTTCGGTTCAATCGCACGCTGAGATCATTCAACTGACAGAGGAGCAGCCGACATCTTCTCGAAACTACTACAGGTTCGCCAACCTCCTCGAACAAACCCGGAGATGCATCTAACAGCTCTTAGGAACGAATAATATGCCTCAATGGCCCGATAGACGATACAGTCTCCGCAGCCATTGTGGCACAGATGCTGTGGCTTGAATCAGACAACCCCGACAAGCCGATCACGATGTACATCAACTCGCCGGGCGGAGAGGTCAGCTCCGGGTTAGCCATCTACGACACCATGTCATATATCAAATCTCCCGTATCGACGGTCTGCGTCGGTGCAGCTGCCTCAATGGCTGCTATTCTCCTCATCGGAGGCGAGAAGGGCAAGAGGTATTCGCTACCACACAGTTCGGTCATGATACACCAGCCGCTGGGCGGCACGAAGGGACAGGCGTCGGACATATTAATCTATGCAAATCAAATACAGAGGATACGGGGCCAAGTGAACGACATTGTGCGCCGGCACCTAAACGAATCGTTCGGCTATGAGAAATACGACCTACAGGCGGTCAACGACATGATGGAACGCGACAAGTATCTGACCGCCCCGGAAGCGAAGGAAGCTGGCATTATCGATGAGATCCTACTTAAGCGACCTACTTCCGACGATAAATCCACTAATGGGGATGCCAAAAGTCTCAAGCCATGACCGACTGGGCATCAAAAGGAGGAAGGGCAGCCAAAGAGTCTAAATCGCTCATAGTCCACGGGATTCGCGGGCTCACTTGCAAGTCGGAATTCCGTGCTCTTTGTTCTCATACGACTATATCGGTTTAAAATGATGAAGATTGTCAATACTAGACGACACAAGAAAATAGACGGCGCAGATGTTCTCCGATATATCCGGATGGAAGAGACATGGTACTTGCTTGGGATGACAGCGCGTGTACTAATAGACCTGAGCGAGTCGGTGTGAGAGCAACGGCCAGCCAATAAGAGAGCTCCTATTTCATGAGGGGAGCTGCGGTATGGTGGGGTGTGGAGAGCTTGTTAGCTTAGTCCCTGCTGTAGCAAAGAAATTTGCCGGCCGACTTCGCCCAAATTTTCCTCAACTCCAGCTCTCTAGAGTGTGTCCCTGTGATTGTCCCTGTGATCTGGAACCCAAACAAGAAAACAAACCTAATAAGCCCCGGGCGTCCTGCGCCCTCTGAGTCACACTCCTCTCGAACAAACTCCTCGTTGCGATGCGGAGGTAGCGACTCGACCACAATTCCCCATTCGATAATCCAGTCAATTGATCAGTGTCCTGTCGTGCATCCCCCATCGAGATAATGTCTTTCCCAACCCTCCTCCGGGTCAAAGCCCCGAGGGCCCTGGCCTCTGGCCGCTTCTTGGCCACCAGGAGTCATGCGTATGTGCTCATAAACCCAATTGACCCGAATTGAAAACACGAAGACTCATGCATGACTGCTCTAGACGCCTCCTCTCTACGACGCCCGCACGCTATGCCGACGAACAGCTGAACAAAATCTCCGGCAAGATCACGCAGCCCAAGTCCCAGGGTGCCTCGCAGGCCATGCTCTACGCTACTGGTCTGTCCGAGGACGATATGAACAAGGCGCAGGTTGGCATTTCGTCTGTCTGGTTTGAGGGCAACCCATGCAACATGCACTTGATGGATCTGTCTGCAGAGATCAAAAAGTCCGTGGCAAAGGCCGGCCTGGTGCCATACCGCTTCAACACCATTGGTGTCTCGGATGGTATCAGCATGGGTACGACGGGCATGCGCTTCTCGCTCCAGAGCAGAGAGATCATTGCCGACAGTATTGAGACTGTCATGAACGGCCAATGGTACGACGCCAATGTCTCGATCCCTGGTTGCGACAAGAACATGCCTGGTGTGCTGATCGCCATGGGCCGTGTCAACCGCCCCAGCATCATGGTCTACGGTGGAACGATCAAACCCGGCTGCAGCTCGAAGGGCGAGTCGATTGACATTGTCTCTGCCTTCCAGGCTTACGGACAATACATCTCCGGAGAGATCACCGAGGAGGAGCGCTTCAACATTATCCGGAATGCCTGCCCTGGCAAGGGCGCCTGTGGTGGAATGTATACTGCCAACACCATGGCCAGCGCTATTGAGACTCTCGGTATGACCTTGCCTGGAAGCAGCAGCACGCCCGCCGACTCTGCCGCCAAGCTTGCGGAGTGCGCCACTGTCGGAGATGCTATCAAGAACCTCCTGAAGGAGGACATCAAGCCCAGGGACGTCATGACACGCCAGGCTTTCGAGGAGGCCATGATCGTCGTCAGCATTCTAGGCGGAAGCACCAACGCCGTGCTGCATCTGATTGCTATCGCGGACGCTGTCGGTATCAAGTTGACTGTCGACGACTTCCAGGCTGTGTCGGACCGCACCCCTCTATTAGCTGACCTGAAGCCATCTGGCAAGTATGTCTTTGAGGACTTGTACAAGATTGGCGGAACCCCAGCGCTGCTCAAGTTCCTCATCAAGGAGGGTCTGATCAAGGGCGAGGGCATCACCGCCACTGGCAAGACTATGAAGGAGAATCTCAAGAAGTTCGACGACTTCCCAGCTGACCAGCCCATCTTCCGCCCCCTGAGCAATCCTCTCAAGCCTACCGGCCACATCCAAATCCTCCGTGGCTCGTTGGCCCCAGGTGGATCCGTCGGCAAGATCACTGGTAAGGAGGGTCTGGTCTTCAAGGGCAAGGCGAGAGTCTATGACCAGGAAGATGACTTCATCGCCTCGCTTGAGAAAGGTGAACTGAAGAAGGGTGAGAAGACCGTCGTCATCATCCGATACGAGGGACCCAAGGGCGGTCCGGGCATGCCTGAGATGTTGAAGCCCAGCTCGGCCATTATGGGAGCCGGTCTAGGCAAGGACGTCGCTCTCCTGACCGATGGGCGTTTCTCTGGAGGCAGCCACGGTTTCCTGATCGGCCATGTTGTTCCCGAGGCCATGGAGGGTGGTCCGATCGCATTGGTCAAGGATGGTGACCACATCGTCATTGACGCCGAGAGGCGTGTCGTTGATCTGGAGGTATCACAGGAGGAGCTGGACACCCGCAGGAAAGCATGGAAGGCGCCCCCGCCGAAAGCAACGAAGGGCACTCTAAGGAAATATGCTGCGCTGGTCAGCAACGCTAGCAAGGGTTGCGTGACTGATGGCCCGATTGCTTAAGCGTTTGGGATTGGCACGGTGGAAAGATGAGGTCTACTGTATATACCTGTTTGTTCTTTCAAGTTCTTGGGTCGGAAAACGGCGCAATGCAAATCGATTTGATATTGAAAGAGTCTTTACTCATCGCAAGCCATCTTGCGAGGACTTACGCTTGGGATACAATTCCACCCCCCCTTTTTTTTTGGTTGAGATCCTGTGTGAATCTGGGATGATTGCTCTAATAAAGCAGAAGGAATGAATTTCGCGCATCGCAAACCGCCCTGAAAGACATAGATCCTGACCCGCGCAATGCTGATACGCCTCGAAATGCCCTGCACCACTCTGCAGTTAACGTAGCTAAACATCTTCCCGCTGGCTGACAACGAAATTTCCATCTATTTCTTGCCCTTCCACGCCTTGACAAACGCTGCCTTGTCCTTCAGCGTCAGGCCGACCCTCTTGTTTCTCCCCAGCCGGGCCAACGCCTCCGCTATCCTGTCCAGGACGCGCTGCTCCTCCTCCGTGACGTCCGAGCCCGCCGACTCCGCGCCCAGGATGCTCGGCACGTGGTCCACGTGCGCGCTGACGCCGTTCGTCGTCGCCTTGGACGTGTTGAGCGTGCCCTCGGCGATGCGGACGCGGATGCAGTGCGTCGGGCGGCTGAGCAGCTTCCACAGGAAGCTGCCGTACGCGCCGGGGACGGGGGTGGTGATGTCGGGCGGCGTGTAGCGCATGCTGACGGGGAAGATCTTGACGTCCGCGGGCACGGCCAGCAGGCTGGGGCTGAAGGGCAGGACGCCCTTGCCGTTGGTGGTGCCGCACTCGGGGAAGACGGCGACCACGCGGTCCGGGTACTTGTCGAGCAGGGCGCGGAGGTCGGTCAGGTTGGAGGACGGGGCGGGGGCGAACTGCGCGGGGCTGAGGGCGAGCAGGACGGCGCGCAGCAGCGAGATGTGCTGGACCTTGCGGGAGCCCGGGAAGGAGACGGTGAAGACGGGGTCGAAGATGGCGGCGAGGTAGAGGGCGTCGATGGGGGAGGTGAAGCTGGCGGCGATGACGGACCGGGGGTGGGGGACGCGCTCCGGGGGCTGTTGGGACAGCGAGCCGCGCTTGACGCCGTCGATCTGCAGGTCTACCCACCAGATGCCCGGGATGCCCATGATGCCCCAGAGGAGCAATTTGCGGGCGACGACCGGCAGGGGCAGGTGGTGCAGGACGAGGAAGTAGGCCAGCACATAGGTGAGGAAGAAGGGCAGGCGGAAGAGGAAGAGGAAGGTGTGCGGCAGCTTCGAGAGGGCGGAGGACGGCGTCTTGATGGGGATGAACGGCGATATGCCGGAGCCTGTTCGTTTGCCTTGTCAGTCACATTGATCATGCATGATGAAGCTATACGTCGGGTAGCAGAGGGGACAGATGGACAGACCTCTATCGCGGAACTGGGAGAACTTCTCCATCGTGTAAGTACCAAATATGCGACGATATCGAGTTACAAAAGAGGTTGAAGATCAGTTGGTTTCAGAGTGACGGAGACATCGGATCAGAGGGACAAAGACGGCTGGACGACGACGCCATTCAACATGCAAGTCGGAGGCGATAGGAACAACACAGCGGCCAAGATTGTGTCGTGAGCCTTAAAACCGGAGAATCACTCCACCGGTTTGCTGAGCGTTAGGTGAGGTGAAGTGGGCCAGCAGCAGATACCTCACTGACTGATGTTGCGACAATTGGAAGATGTCAGCACGACCAATTGTCAAAAGCAACCACAAAGCGGCCAGAGAGCATCAGCCAAAAAAAAAGTATCGAGGTATGGCAGCCAGGCTCAGCAGTCAGCCAGAAAGCATGTGAAAATGTGGTTGGTGGCGGGTAAGTGCGCATCCTTCAGCCACAGAATCCCAGGGCAGCCCAGCGAGTCAGGCTGCGCCTTGATAACGTTACCTCCTAATGTACTAATACACTTCATGCAGCTGCACCTACACCTGCACCTGCAATTATGTCAGCAAGCCCGTTTCACGATACGGTAACTGTGCGATTCGCGTGTTCCTCTGCATTCGTCCCAATCGTGTGGCACATCACTTCATGTCTTTACGCAGCCGGGTGTCATCATGATGCCGTCTTCTGCTCCTCAGGGACCTGTCCGTCCTGTAATTGCATTCTGCCATTCTGAAGAGCCAAGATTCACATGCCTGGCTTCTACTGTATGTTAATGGATCGGCGCTTGTTTCCAGTCGAACTATCCACGTAGAACTAAATATAGGTTGTACAGTTATTCAAGAACTCCAAACTCCAAGATAGATAGCGAATGATCATCTAAGAATGCGACGAGATTCCCTGAAGTTCAGTGTTCAGCCATAAGATCACGGCATTTGTGTAGGTATGATTAGGTATCTACCGACCTCTGCCACTGGAGATCAATGCCTTCGCGAAGCAGTGCTGTGCGGTATGCTCCGGGCTTCTCAAGACCCCACAACGCCGGACATGACAGGCGGAGGTGGAGTGTCCCGGGCCCCTGTGCCCTGTGCCCTGTGCCGGGTTGCTGTTGGTTGCCACGCAGGTGCAGGTGGGTGTGTGTTATGTAACCCACTTACAAGAATACGGTGGTGGTGCGTGCGTCCTTTAGTCCACGCCCAAACAAGCACAAGTCGCAAAGTAAACAAACCCGCTCCCCGATGATGCACGACAACGATCCAACCTACGCCTGATTGGGACTACGACTCCCTTCCTCGCCGCCAATGCCATACAGTATCTAACATTTCAGTCATCTTCAACTCCCAAGACACGCCTTCATAGTGCCTCTGTCCGCCTCGTCGCCCTCCGGAGCGTCGCTCCTCGCTTGTTATTTCCTTCTGCATCTCGTTCCTCGCTTTCGTATTCTTAGCATGGATAGCAATTCGGAGAACGCGGTACGTGTAACTTCTTGCATTGCCCCCAATCACCGGGTCTCGTGGTCTCGAGACATCGACTATTTCAGAGTATGGACGATCATTTGCTGACAGTCTCATCGCGACAGCAGGGCTTCCGCGCGTCTGGCCTGCGTCCTCCAAGTCGATACCCTACCGCTGCCACCAGCGTCAATACTGGTCTTCACGAAATGACCGAATCCCAGAGCAACGCCAGGCCACCACCATCAATGCTCCCACCGTCTCAGTCAGGCCTCAAACGGCCGCAGCCAGTATCATGTGCGAACCCCAAGAATGTCTCAAAAGGGAACAACGAAGGCGACGGTTACTGACATGACGTGTGGAACAGTGCCTCAACCGGAACCCAAACGAAAGCTACTCAAAGACAGAGCTCTTGAATATCCGGACAAGACACTTGCAGCCGTTACTCCAGCTCCAAAGTCCATGGCCAAAGGCGTTTCCCTTCAGTCAATGGTAGGTTGTTTGTTGCTTCCTCCTTTGCGCCACATGTCTTCCTCTTAGGTTCTTGCCATTTCACGTTTGACTCCATACATTGCCTGCCACTTCGACCGGCTTGGTTTTGTGTCTATGCTATAGCTCTTATCATGGTACATAAAGATACCGTGGTCGGTCGCTCATATTGTTGGCTTGTCGGCTGTGTTTCAATTTACATGTTGCATCTTATCATGGTCAAGAAGCTTCCGGCGGAAGCGATCATGGACGCATACACAACGCCTTCAGCAACTTTCTGCTCTACGCCTTCATACGATTCGGCCTCTTGCTCAAGCAGTCTCGAATTCCAGCCGCTAATGGTCGAGCCATCGCCCTGGAAGCGGTTCGTCCTGTGGGCTCGCAAAAACGCCCTTTGCTATGGAACCTCAATCGCGACTTATGGACCGCATGTCAAAGTTTGTTGTGTTCCTGCCGTCGCATCTCGAATCGCGACAAGCCGTTATCTATTTCCGAAAAATCTCATCAAATCATACAATCACAACTTGTTGCTAACATGACTTCTTCCCAGATGAAACATCCTTCGACTGCCGCTCCACATTCCCGGCATGCGTCCACAAACAGCTTCTCTACAAGCGTTGGTCCGAACGGGGGTCGACCGCCGTCATCCATGGGATTCCCACGACCCAAAACTTCGATGTCCAACCAGCCCACCGGCATCCGAGGTCGCTCAAATACCACTCGATCCCGACCGAATACCGCTATGGGCAATCATATGACGGACGAGGAAGCTACAACAGGGAGACAGCAGAATTGTATGATGCCACCATCTTCTTTCCGCCATTCAACCCAGTCAAGTCATCATTCTCTGCATTCTAGAAAGCTTCGTAATGCTGCATCTTTACAGAGTCTAGACTCTCAACACCTGGCACCAAGAAGCAGGGACTCTTCTCTCAGCGTCTGGATGCAAGGGTTGAACATCAAAGACGATAATCAGACCAGTACATCCCCCACAAGAAATCAAGTGGTTTCAAACTCTCAAGATCGTACAACGGCCCATTCTCGCCCGTCGAATGGTCGCCTAGAGCACGTCACCCTCAGACATGGAAACAGGAGTGAGAACGGACCACAAACCCTTGTCCGTACAAAGGAATCTCAGGCCGGCTCAGTAGCTCGGCCGGGGACTCCTCCTCACACTGCGCAACATGTTCTGGCAATGATGGAAGAGTTTGGGGACGTGCTTGCGTCAGCGGCCAAGACCCCGAGATCTCCTACCAAATCTCCTTCTATAAGTCTGTCATTCCTAACCAAAGAGTCTAACACACGCACCTTCACAGCATGGGATGTTGACGAGCGCCTCTCCGAACTCGATACCCAGTTCAAGGTCATGAAGGAGGTCATGAATACATCTCTCTCTGACAGGACAGCCATGGATGAAGCGATCAGACTAGCCAAGACAAGAGGTAGGCCCAATACAGGATCAATCTTTGGAATCCGTTCAGTTAGTACTAACTATTTCCAGCAAACGATCTTGAACGAGAACGGGATCAGCTTAGCGAGAGAAATTCAATGCAGCAGTCAGAAATGACAGAGTTGAAAATGCAGATTCAACAACTAACCCTAAATCTTGAGACAGAAAGGAGACAGTTCCGGTTCGATCTTGAAGACAAGTCCCGGGATCATCGCACCGAGCTCGATCAGCTCCGGAGAGAATTGAAGGATGAAACGGAACGACAACAGCGTGACCACAGAGAGGCCCTCGAAGCATTGGAGCGGCATTATCGAGCCGAGGTCGAGGATGAGCGGAGCCAGAGGTCGAGGGAAGTTGATGAGCTTAGAGCAAAGCTTGGTTCCGAACAACAAGGCTTGAATGTGGCTTTGCAGGCCAAAGATCGAGAAATGGACCAGCTAAGAGCACAGATGGAAGACCTCAAGGGTGATCTTGACCGCGAACACACGTTGAAGAATAGCTTGCAGAAGCGGATTGCTGAAATCACAACATTGAACATGGAGCTGGAAGATCGCTTGCGCGCATCAAAGGCAAAGGTCGAGTTTCTCGAATCAGACAGCAAGGCCCAATCTGACTCCTATGCCGACATGGAGGCTAGGATGCAGGATGCTGTCCATGCTGCTGAGGAGGCGCGGCAGAAGCTCATCAAGGAGGAGACCGAGCGGCGAGCTCTCTTCAACAAATATCAAGAGCTCAAGGGCAATATCAGGGTTATGTGCCGTGTTCGCCCGGCTCTTGGCTCATCCGAGGGCGAGGAAGCAAGAATTATGTTTCCAGATGAGAAGACGTCAGCTCAGATTGACATCATGGGCCCGGAGGAGAAGACCAGCCTTGGAGTTGTTTCCCGCAAACCATTCCCCTTCGAGTTTGACCGGGTTTTTGCTCCGAATGTGCAGAATGAAGAGGTGTTTGGGGAAATTTCGCAGCTCGTCCAAAGTGCCCTTGATGGGTACAACGTGTGCATCTTCTGCTACGGCCAAACAGGCTCGGGCAAGACATTTACCATGTCCTCGCCCGATGGAATGATCCCTCGCGCGACGCAGATGATCTACGAGACAGTAACCAAGCTGAAGGAGAAGTCCTGGACCTACACGATGGAGGGCAGCTTCGTCGAGGTGTACAATGAAGAGCTCCACGACCTACTCACCCCTGCGAGAGATGTTGATGCAAAGAAGAAGCTCGAGATCCGCCACGACGAGGCTCGGAAGTCAACTACCGTTATTAACTGCAAGAGTGTCATCCTCGACTCGGCCCACACCGTGGAGACAATGCTTCAACAGGCCCAGAACAATCGGTCTGTCGCCGCCACCAAAGCGAACGAACGGTCATCACGGTCGCATAGCGTCTTCATCCTCAAGCTCGTGGGTGAGAACAGTGCTACACATGAGCGCTGCGAGGGTACGCTGAATCTGGTGGATCTTGCCGGTTCGGAACGGTTGAAACACTCCCAGGCTGAGGGCGAGCGCATGAAGGAAACCCAGAGCATCAACAAGAGTCTGACATGCCTTGGTGATGTGATTGAAGCCCTCGGCAGGGGCTCAGGTCACATTCCTTACCGCAACTCAAAGTTGACGTACCTGCTTCAGTACTCTCTGGGTGGCAACTCCAAGACCCTCATGTTTGTCATGGTCAGCCCGCTAGAGGCCCATCTAAAGGAGACCTTGACCAGCTTGCGGTTCGCCACAAAGGTAAGTTCTGCTCGATCGCATTAACACGGGAAATGAAATCCTAACTAGAAACCTTATAGGTTCACAATACCCATATTGGGACAGCAAAGTCGACGAAGAAGTTGAAGGATTGAGTTAGTGACTCATGAGCGGTCGGACGAGGTTTGCGTTGCAATGCTTCAATCAATGTACGGCGTGCTTTGAAGATGATACCGCAAATATTGTCTTATACGGTTCTGGTACACATTTGGCGTTTTGGATGGCGTCTCTGTTTGGTAGTAGAATAGGCATGATGAGCATGATGCTACTGCTACATAACTACTGTTGGAGTTTACATGATGAGCCCGCGTCTGTCGGGCTCTATTTAGTATCTGTACAGGCAGACACAAATCAATATAAATCATCTCGATATTTTGGTTGCTAAACGATGAACGAGGGAAGCTGCGATGTATCCTCAAATGTAAGGCAGATGGCGTTTGCCTCGGGAAGCAACGAGGACCTTTGATGTTGGCAGCCCCGGGGCCACCTACCCCGGCCTTCTAGCAGCTCTAAGCCTCCATTTAGCGCCAACACAGGCACTTCACATGGATCCTAAACACCAACAACATGAACAACTTCGGATGATTGTTTCGCATTTCATTTGATCGCCCTCCTCTTAATCTCATGCCTTGACTGTTCAGTATCTCGTTCTCTTTTGATGTTTTCCAAATGCGACCAAGAGCCTCCGGGGTTGCCCAACAAACGAGCAGTAGCAGCTAAAGCCCGACGCGATATCCACAATGCCCGGCCTCGCCAACTCTCGATGGGCGCCTAGGTCAAGCTCCGTTCCCACCTCCGGCCGCCTCTCTACCACGGCCGCTCCCTCCTCGGCGCTCTCTTCCGCCACCGCTGCAGGCGCCACGGCCTCGGGACATGCCAATGGCGCCGCTGCCTACACGAATGGCTCCCGTTCTCCCGGCCCAGCCGCGGAGCTCATGCGCTATGCGAAGATCGTCCGCCGACTGAAGTGGAAGCTGCCGTACCTCGCCCACGGCTACCGACAAGCCACCCTCCGCCTGGACTATCCCACCGACGTCGACATTGCGCACCGGGGCGAGGCAGAGCTGATGTTCAAGCTCGACTTCTTCGAATACTACATGCTGCTGGAGCGCGCGCTGGTGCATCTCCTCGGCGTCTTTGGCATCACCGTCTCGCGAGACTTTGCAGAGCGGCATCTGCGCATGATGCTCGAGGAGCAGAGGCAGCAGGACATTCGCAACTACGGCGTTCTCCGTGGCAACATCAACGGCACCAGCAGGAGGAGCGAGCCGTCGCCGTGGAAGAACGGCGGCGGCGGCGGCAGCAGCAATCACAGGTACCACGCGAACGTGCTCGAGGCGCTCGACAATGCCGAGAACCCGCTGCACGAGGCGCTGGGCACGGGCGAGGTCCGCAGGCAGCTCGGCCGAGCTAAGGACTTACGCAACAGGTGGAAGAACGTGGACGACGTCGAGGACGCAAGTGCTGTGAACGGCAGCAGTGGCGGCGGCAGCAATACTCCTCAGCTGGCGAACGGTAAGGCGGCCACGCCGCTAGAGAGCTATGATCTCGAGCGAATTCTGGAGTCCATATTCGAGGGCTTCGATAGGGCCTTTGCAGTTGCTGAGCGACATGTCCTCGAGGAGCAACAGGCTGCTGCCAAGGCGGGCGACGCAGTGCCCATGGATTGGGGTTCTGAGGAGCAACAGTGGGAGTTCATGGTGGATGCAATGGATTGGGAGGCCGTCTAAGCATGACCATTGAAGTGCACTGGCATAACACTATGCAGTAACTTGGGTCTGGACGGTTTTTTTTTTTTTGATCCAGGCGTTTTGGGCGCACTTTTCTAGGATCAACCTCGTGGGCGCTGGAGCATCGCCTGGAGAAAGAGAAAACCTGTATTACCCTAGAGCCTCTCAGGACTGGCAATGGCATCAGTAGATGAGCATTGATAGATACACTACCTATAATATTGACATCGAGAATGTTTTCTCTCTAGGTCGAGCCGCCTCGCCCGCTTGTTGACATCAACAGTGTAGCCCCACCGATAACATGACCGCGCTGTGGGTATTCGGTCGGGGAGTTTTTCTAACTCAACAAAATTTTGAACACACAATGTCAGAACCATCCACCCTTCAGTCTTCGGACAGACAATGCCAGCGGACTTCGACAAGCAGCAATATTGGCACGAACGCTTCACCACCGAGACTTCGTTCGAGTGGCTAACACCGTCCACAACCTTTGTCTCGCTCTTGGAGCCTTACCTCAATGGTCTTGCCAAATCCGCCCAGATATTACACTTGGGCTTTGGCACAAGCGATCTCCAGACTCATCTACGTTCACGCGGGTTTCTGAACGTGACGAATGTAGACTATGAACCTCTTGCTATCGAGCGCGGCCGGGAGGCTGAACAAAGGGCGTTTGGCGATGTACGGATGACATATATGGTTGCGGATGTCACGCAGCTAAGCCTACCACGGCAGTTTGATCTCGTCATTGACAAGAGCACGGTCGACGCGGTCTCGTGTGCTGGGGGAGAGGCGCTGTTACGTATGGCACGTGGAGTGCATAGGTGCTTGGCGCATGGTGGAATCTGGATCTCGCTGAGTTACTCAACCTCACGATTTGCTGTGGACGGCCTACCTTTTAATGTTGAGGTCATCGAGAAGATACCCACACCCAAGATCAAGCCTAGTGATCCAGACGTGTTTCACTGCTGCTATCTTGTCCGGCCATGATGATTGTATGCTATCCAGGTGAATACGCCGTATCGTACGATGCCAATTCCAAGATTGGCCAATCATTGATATACATTCAAGAAGATACATATAATGGCAGTCTTGTATGAGAAATAGGATCTTTAGTAAGGAGGTACTGGTGATATTATGGGTTCGTTCACACAGATTTATTCAACGACGGCGAATCTTTGATCATCACTTGGTTGTCTAAAACCTAGATCACACATAATTACAAACATGATAAGTACATGAAAATTCAACATTTAAGAACATGTACGATCTCGAATTTAGACAGATTCAGCATATCATCGTATATAAGTCCCCTGGAGATGTTATGATATCCAAACCATATGTTTCTGACCCTACGAGGTTTCACGCGCGGGATTCGGAGAATCATGTTTGTACTTCAGGTAGATGTGCTTTGGTACAGCTTTCTGCTTCTATCGCTCAACTCCGTTGGATGTTTCAAGAGCCCGGCTCGAGATCGGTCGACCCCCGCCCATAGAGGTGGCCGCGGTAGTTGCAGAGGCGTCCAGGGGTCTCGGGCAGCATCACCTCGGAAGAACTCGTCTAACGGGCATGTAGCACCAGTGGTTTTGTCGTCTATATTTGGTGTCAGAGGAGTTGCACTTTTACTTCAAAATTTGTTCAGCTCACGGAGCCTCAGTCTCTCCTCACTCAGCCGCCTTGAAGACTTTGAAGACGTCTGTCTAGCAGTCGCCGTGCTAATTCTCACCAGTGTCATTGATGGTATCCTGTAAGAGGAGTGGGTGCTTTCTTTGCTCAGATGTAGCTCCCAATTATAAGGGCACGATGATTAGGATCCATCTCAACATACTTATACCTATAGGGTTTCACAATTGCTCAAAGACAAGGTCAACGGGCGAGGCTCACAGTTTTTGGGCTCTGATAAAATTCCCGGTTCATGAGAACGAAATAGCCGGGTATGCTTGAATATTACAATGGCCGGGTAGGGTCAGGTTGTAGAAATTAGTAATAAGAGGTTCATCTCAGGCGCAGAACAGCCAGCAAAAAAAGTAGAAGATAATGCCTTGTCGGTGGGGCTAATAAACATGTACTCCAATTACGAGTTTATGCTCAGGGACACTCGGTAAGTCAAGTGGAAGTCCCGGTGCTGCAAGGCAGATTTCGTACAACAGGGCGGCGTCACGTGGCAGTCACTTTTTCAAACTCTCCGGTTGAACACCTCAGAGAACCCGGTTGGATTGACCAATCACAATCATTGCGGCTTCGAGAAAGAGAACACCTCTTCTATGCTATCCCTGGTTGCAACTTTGACAATCAGACGGTGAAGAGCATCGGTCTCCATGATTATACTCCATCAGCACAACTCCATACTGCTCACACCGAGCGCTTGCACAACGGGATCGTAGACCTTTTGCCGCTGACTCTGTGACGGCCCATGCCCTCTAACTTCTTTTGAAACTCCCACACCCACATCTACACCCCTGTCTTAGAGAGGTGCCGCAGATACGTTCGGCGTGTGCACAGATACCGTTATCACATCACAGGGCCACTATCATCCCCAAGTACTGACTGGTCAGTGGATGCGGACAGGAACACAGGGGTCCTTGCTATCTTACTAAGAATCCCGATTTATCGTTCCTCTTCATTATGCCCGGCCAAGCGGATTATGTCTTCCCATTTGAAAATGGCGGGTTTGAAGAGAATCTCCCTCAAGATCTCAACCTAGATTTCGACCTTGGCTATTTACCGGATGCCAATTATTCGCTCGCAACAAATGACCTAAGCCTAGATATACAATACCAAAGAAACGTTCAGAGTGTGGACGATTTTCAAGACCCAAACGTTTTCCTAGGCCCAAATTTCGGATTCCATGAACTTTCGACGTACCCAGATGGCGAAGCTTTGGTCGAGAATCTATTTCCTGACCAGGATAATACCCTGCCCCAAATTGACTTCAACCAAGCCGGGACCTGGATAATAGAAAACGATAATAGCTATATCCAGAATACTGTGCGGATGTCAAACCCGTCGAATGGGGCTAATAATAATGATTTCGCAAGTCTCGATGCCCTTTGCAGCATATTTGAACCAGAAAACCAGTATGGTGCCGTACCTTCGCGCGAAAATCTCTTTCACACTCCTCGAAACGCATCGACTTCCTCCAACGCAACATTCCCGAAAGTCATGACACCGGCATCCTCAGACAAGGGATCTAGCAGTTGTTGTCAGCCAACTCTGAACACAGAAATGTGTTGTGATCCTGAAAATGAACCCAACTCAGCTACCTTCAACCGGGACTATGTTGTCGTGGACATTCCAATGGCAAATATGAACTACAGCCCCAAGGCGGACGACAATGTTGGCACCATGAATATTGGTGCAAAGAAGAGAGGCAAACTTAGCAGTGCCCAGAAAAACAAAATTAATGCAGTGCGGAAGATGTCGGCCTGTATTCGGTGTCAAATGATGAGAGAATCAGTGGGTCGATCTATCTTTCGCCATATGCTTTCCTCGTTGCTTACACGCACCCTAGTGTGATGAATGTGATGAAGACGATGCCTACAGACCGTGTCGAAATTGCATTCTCGTTGCGGCCACAGCCAAAATATGGAGGTCACCTTGCTTCAGAGGAAGAATCAGTGATGCGGTCCTATTCCGAACCGGTAAGTTTCAATGATTCGCCACCCTTTGGTGCAGAAAGCCAACAAATTATAGGCTGGGTAAGTCTTCCTAACGGAGTCCGAGATATCAAAGAGTGGACTTCGAATAGCAAAGTACATATCGAATTTTACAGCTCGGGACTGGCGTATCAAGACTTTCCAATGAAGAGAAACAAAACGATTAAAATCACTTGCCAGGAGTTTAGGCCATTACCAGGCGATGGCACTGAAAGGAAGTGGAATGATGGCCAGTCGGTTGTCCGCATACCTTCGTATGCTATTGCCAAAAACCACTACTCTCCAACAAGGAAAGCATTGGAGACTTACTTCAATGAGAACAGGGATTCGTTCCTCGAAGAGCTAGACATCAATCAAGATGAATTAGTGAAACTGACCTTGAAAGAAGCTAGGAGACACGCGAATCGGGTAAGTCACCAAATTAAGCGATCTCGACAGCCTTTCACTAATTCTAGAAACAGTCAGAGATGCTATATCACGCTCTCGACATCTGTATTCTCGCTAAGCTTTGTTCCACGACTCTAAAGATCCCTGATGATGGGCGAGCTGAAAGTCTTGGCATACCTCGGATTGTTGACCCTGCCGGGTGGCGACATTACGGACGACGCCCTACTCCAGTTATGCTTGATGCACAAATTGCCACCATTTGGATGGGCATCATGGGCAAAGCGCGTAAGAGGCTCTTATCCGAACTCAAGAAAAAGATACTTGGTAGGAAAAGGGAGAATTGGTACATCATCTACCTAACAACATTTATCATATTATGGAACCTGGAATATATCTATGAGCATCAAAAAGAACGGGTTGACCTTTTTTCTAAAAAGGTAATCTTATCTTGCAACGTGTTCGGGACATCTTTCGAGAGACTGACTTGTTTCCAGCACCCTCGTCAATCATTCCCTCACCTCTGCTTTGCCATGATGGACCAATGGAGGGTAGCAGCAGAAAACATACTGGCACATTTCCATACAATATCTCAAGGAAACATACCCTTTTCCATCAACTGGGATGAGAATGAGGCTCAGCGTATAGCAAATGTGGACGCCAAGGCGGTGGAGTATCTTAACAAAGTCCGGGCAATTCTTGACGAACGAGGTATTTGCTTACCCCCACATGCACCCTTCTTTTTTTTTTATTTTCTCTGTTGTGTGACCCTCCTAAACTTGAGCAGGAGATTACTTGTGCCAAGCCGCCCAAGAGCCTCCTGGAACGCCATTGGTGTGGATTTCGTCACTGTTCTTCCCCAATACAACTACCTGAAGGAACTTCAACGATGATCCCAGCTCTAGTTTGCATCGCGAAAGACAACATTTTCCCAGATGAGACAATCGTGCCAGACATTTCGCA